ACCAAAAAACGAAAACAAAAACATTATTGCACTCTGCCCAGGTTGTCTCGTCCCTTCGAACTCTGCAATCCATGAGAATCTCATTGGTCTTTTTCAGAAACATCCTTATCCTCCCTCCCTAAAGCCAACAATACCCTGGGAAGTGTCAGTGGAAAGAATTCACAGCAGGGCCAGCAGATCTGAGATCCATAGGCTCATTGCCCAGTAAGGCAGATGATCTAGAGGAGACCCAGGGACCCACAGATAATCACTCTCCTGTCCCCTCCAAAACTCTCACATAACTCCTGTGGGGCTGGTTGACTCTTCCTGGACCTCAGTGACAGCACTGGAACTGTGGCTGGACACATTCTGTCTTCTGCACACTCACCTGCAACCATTTTTACAAATTCTCAAGGGAATGAACTTTGTGATATTGGTATTAGAACCTTCATCAAAAGTCCACAATCACTGCTCTGTTTAATGAATAAATATGGAAAAGTTCAAAATTCTAAGTAATAAAAAAAATATGTATGGCATATGCTGAGCTATGTGCCTCAAGGGACAAAATAAAAGTCTTACCCCAGGAATCTTAAATTGTGTGGCAGATTTGAGATGTGGATGCCTCAGCACGAGGACACCATGCCATAAGGGAGTGGTGACGGTGGGGGGCAGGGGAGCTGGAGGAATAATAGACAGATGAGTCTCTCTTAATGGTCTTTCTCAGGTGCAAGATATGGGAGAGCAGAAAAACAGCATCTTGCAGGTGTCTACCTCCTGCCTCCAGGTGTGTGACAAGGGGACTTTGCAGAAGAATTTTAGGGGATGGCCTTTAAAAAGATAGTCCCAGATCATCTGGATGGACCCAATTCAACTGCAAAAGCCCCTAAAAGGAAAGAGGCTTTTCTAGCCAAATCCCAAAGGACAGAGGGCTGGAAGGGACCTCCGAGAATCCAACAAGAGAGGAGGATACTGTGGCCGACTCTGGGCAGGGAACCCAGTGCAAGGACTTGAGAAAAGACTATGATCAAAAGTAGCAAGACAACACCTGTGGTCCCCTGCCAGGAGGAACTGGAAATGCCAACAAAGAAGAGGACCTGGAGGGATTCTTCTGCAGCACTCCAGAAAGGTGCACATTCCTACCAACATCTCTGGCCAGCCAGAGAGACCCTAAATGGCTCATACAGGCCTGTGGCCCAAAGAAATGAGCTCATATTGGGTGCTATTTCAATCTTGCATTTTTCAGGAATGTGTCACTACAGCAGAAGAAAGGAAATAGGATGTAGAGGGTAGATTTGGTGGTTCCTGAGGGAAAAAGGGACAGGGAAACAGCCATTTGGAGTTGAAAACCAGAGAGAGCATGTGTCCATAGAGGCCACTGGGGTACATCTTGACACCCCCACCCAGGGACCCCAGAGAATGTCAAGGAGAGACACCTTCCACTGCTACCTGGAGGCCTCAGAGGAGGATGCATGCTTGAGTTCTTCACCTGCTCCTTAAAGAGAAAGATGCCTCAGAGGCTGGGAGATGCATGCAAAATGCCAGGTGATGTGTCCTTCCAGTACCCAGAGGCAGGTGTGGGGCCACCCCACCCACAGGTGCACAGCCAGTTTCAGGTGGCAGCTGTAGTGACCCTCCAGAGGGTTACTTCCCTGCTCCCAACTTGCCCACTGACTCGGGCAACTGTGCAGGGCCAAGTGCAGCTCAAGGACATAAAATGGCATTGCTTTCAAACACTGTGTAGAGCAGACTGTGCTTGGTGCACCCAGTCCTCTGTACCAGTGATCTATGTTGTGTTGTTCCTCAGCAGGGAAGACGGAATTCTCATGCAGGAGCAGGGCAGGGGGGTACCCCTTCTCTTTTATGTTGCATTCAGAGGAGCTGAAGACAGAGGGGGCCTGAAACTCAGAGACTGGATGCCCCGTGTTGTGGGTAGATTGTGAGGTCTGCAGGGTTGCAGCGTGAGGACCCACAGCAGCCATGGGGGACTCCAGGACTCCCCTGCATTTGTAGGAGGAACTCTCTCAACTGGCCAGAGATCTTCCCTCCTCCCAGGGCTCACACGCATGCCCACACTCCTTCACACACCATACACTCAGACATTCATGCTCACCACACAGTACACACCTCACACGCAAACCACACTACACACCTAGCAACCCCACACGCTGCACACACCCTGCACCCCTTACTCCCCACACTACATCTCCCCCTTTGCTCTGCCCTGTCTTCAGGTCTGAGGAGCCGCACACCAGGGATCCAATCCTAAACTCTAGCAATCTGCAGCCCCTAGAAAGTTTCCGCCTTTCCTAGCCAGTTCCCAGACACCCTATTCCCAGGCACCAAACGCCAAAGGTCAAACACAGACGCTTGTTGTGCACTTACATTCAGGCTCTAGGTCCTCAGCCATGGTCTCTCTTCCTCTCAGCGGCGGGCTGAGGCTGAGCGGTCACCATGGGAATAGTAAACATTCCGAGCCCCCACAGCTCCTCTGCTGCCTGGCAACCAGAACCCCACCCTCCCCCACCACGCCTTCAAACTGCCTCTGGGAGCAGAGCGTTTTACTTTTTTAACTTGTAATATTTTCTATCATCTGAAAAATATCGACATTATAAAAATTGAAAAAAATATTCAGGCTCTCCAATTCCTTCCCAAAACCTGGGGAGCAAAATGTCACTGATCTTGTTCATCTGTAAGGATGTGAAGATCTTATGGGGCAGAACCACTTCCAACTGAACTGGGAGTTTAGCTCAGAGTCCGAATCATCCCCTAAATTATCAAGTTGTAATATTATTGCTCATGTATTTCCTAGGGAATAGAAATCCATGAGACACAGTTAAATAATGTGATCAGCGAGCACACAATGAAGGAACATAAACGTCGATGTTTGACCACACTGTGCTTTGTCCCGGGGTAGCCCATGTGGAGTGGGAGGAGAAAACAAAAACTTGAAAGTTTGATTCTATTTGATTTTTTGCAGCTGGAAAGAACTGGAATGTGGAGAAGCTGACTGACTGCTCTTGGAGGTAACTGAAAAAGCGCTCCCTTCCAAGGGTCTGGAGAGGGCCGCGCGACCCCACCCCACCCCCACCCCCACTTGCCAGGTGTGGGAATGGAGTCCGGCAACCCAAAGTGACCCGGTGGCGCGCAGCTGTTCTAGGTGTTTCCGCGTGTTTGTGTCCGCTGATGCAGGTCAAATACTTTAAATGCGAGCGTTCTGGAATCTGTCAGGCTCCTAGCCTGCGCCGAGGCTCACGGGTCGGGGTGTGTGCGTTTAACCCGGAAAGGTCCCGGGGCTTCCTGGGTTTCTCTCTCCTGTGCCCAAGGGGGCAGGCGGGCTTTCGGGCCATAATGCTGACTTGGAGACGCCCACATAGGCGAATCTGAGTGTTGGCGGGGAGGCCCTGCCCTGTGCCTCCTGCCTTCAGGTAATGGGGGGGGGGTGTCAAAAAACAAAAAACAAAAAACCGGATCGCATGCCTGTAATCCCAGCACTCTGGGAGGCTGAGGCTGAAGGATGGCAAGCTCAAGCCCAGCCTGGGCAATTTAGGGAGACCCTGGCTCAAAATAAAAGATAATTTAAAAGAGGATAGGGATGCAGCTCAGTGTGAAGGCACTGGGTTTAATACCCAGTGCAAAATAAATAAATAAATCCATCATAAGGCAGACCAGTTTCTTTCCACAGGTAGGAAGACCCAAGGTCTGGCAGGGGGACTGTACCCAGAGGAGCTGTTTGCTCCCTCCCTGGTCAGCTAGTGCTGCCTTCCACCTGGACCTTGACACACAAAAAAAGTGGATTTTGCTGAATTTATGTGGAGTTGCAAAACGTTGGTTTAGATCAGAAAGAAAATTATTTGTTTCCAGGGGCTATGCTTCTCCCTGGTTCTCCTTCCCTTGCAGCCACACAACACTAGAGCTAAGGAATGATTTCACGCCTTCACTCTAAAGATCAGTGTTCACATCAACGCCAGGCCTTAAAAACCCCTCCCGCAGCTCTCCTGCTGCTTAATATTTCATCAGAGTGAGGCAGAGCACGTGCGATGGTTATGCTGTCGGTGCCACGAACTGATCCACCAAAGCCGTGCTGGGTCCTTCCGGAGCTCTACTTCCTGGGGGTGTCACCGCACTGCGGGTGCCTTAGCAGACCTGCTTGGGGCTCCTTCTGCTTCGTGCTTTATGCTTCCCCTCTAGGAGGTTCGGACACAACAAAAGCGGGGACCTAAGGCTCTGCTACTGGACGCTTACCTCGCCCCGCGCTGTCCACGCTCACGCGGGAAGAACTGTGGTCGGTGGCAGGAGCTTCAAACCCCGAGCGGTGCGGTGCGCTCCTGCGCTGCGGTGCTGGCGGAGAGACTGGGGCGTAGAAGGCCTGGCCATTGGCGCCAGCTGTGCAGGAGCCGGAGCAGGCTGAGGACTTCTGGAGGTGCCTTGCACGTGATCCCAGAGCGCAGGGACCCTGAGCGGCAGCAGGCTGCCCTGGGCATTTGACAGCAACTCCGGTGGGTAGCAAGTTTCTCAGGTATGAACAGGGCCTATTCCTGCTTCTGCGCTTCTTGGATTTTTTGTGCGCAAAGAAACACTTCCAGTAGCTGCTTGTGTTTATGAGAGGATGTTTATTTTGAGGATGAAACCAGACAGTATCAAGCCTCACCTTGCCTCTGAAGCTACTTTGTAACTTGTTTGTGCTTCCTAAACCCTAGGCAAACCCAATGGGGCGATTAGGGGATTTTGCATAGAATAAAAATTCAAATCCTATGGCCTGGCAGTAGGATTCAGGAGCCAGGATGGGCAGGGGCATTTCTAGTTTGATCTGAAGACATCAGGAGTTTTGGAAAATGTCTAACCAGGGAGAAGATACTCAGTCTCCATTGCAGCAAGCTCACTGCTGTCGCAGGGTGAGCAGTGGTGGTGGAGAGGCAAGAATTCCTCTTCCAGCCCTAAACCCTCAAGATAGCTGCCCACAGTTCACCCAAGCTCCCCTTCTTCCTTCCCACACAGTGGAAGGAAAGTCTCTGCAGGCATCCAGCTCCAAAAGTGCCCTGGTTTCCTCCCGCCTGCCTTCCCAGGGCCACTCCATTGTTCTTTCTGGCTAGCTCCCCTACATCAGGTACCTTTGCTTTTCTGTGGGAACACTTCCATCAGAAAACAGATGAGCTCCTGCTTTTCTCCCTTAAGAACACATAAAAACAAAGCTTGGGTTTGACTCCACATCTCTAAGGCATTTTTACAAAAGATTCTGGTCTGAGCAGACCATGTGGAAAGCATTAGGCCTCTCCCCAGGGAGAGCGAGTGCCTAGGTTGCTGCCCTGCCAGTCTCTGTAAGACAGGGCCTCTCTTCGGCCCATCTTGGTGCAGGTGCACTATTTCCACCAGTTCCTATGTGATCTTTATTTTGCCCTAATGGTGTTCAATCAGTCAGCTTTCTCCTTACTGAAACACAATACCCAACCCCCACAACTTAAAAGAGGAGTTAATTTGCTCATGGTTTGAGTCCATGGTGGGCTGACTCCAAGGCAGGAACTTCATGGTGAGAGAGCTTGGTGGAACAAAGCTGCTAACTTCCTGGCAACCAGGAAGCAGAGGAAAAGAGAGCCAGCAAGACATACACCCTCCAAAAGCCACAAATATCCCACCAACCCAGCATGAACTAGGCCCCACCTCCTCACTGCACACTCAGTGTGAACACTGGTGAATTATCCACTGAGGAATGTAGTACCTCATGATCTAGTCACCTGTCCAGCAGTCTCCTAATCCAGTAAAGTTGGTGATTAAACTTAACCACCACAGGTGATTTTCTGCAATATAACTTTATTTCAAAGTCATATTTGATGTTAAAGTGTTTATAAGACCCCAAATTTTGAAAAGATCATTGAAGAAATAACACACATAAAAATGCCCCTTTTGAAGGACTCCCTAGTGTCCCTTCCCCCATGTTCCTGTTGAGTCCCCTCTTCCTCCCTTACAAAGTGAACCAAACCTTCAATTACATCTGTACTTAAAACTTCGTTCCTTTCCTTCAAAATGTTGCCAGTGAGCAAGGAGCTGGTGGAAAGCAAACTGTCCTGCAACCTCTGGGCACTTCAGGGACCAGCCAGAGGACTGGTTTCTCTTATATAACCCACAGACAGTTGGCACATGCACAACATCCCTGTCCTTTCTCCTGTCCAATGATAGCATAATCTACCTACTATTTTGCCTTCCTTATTTTCCTTCCCTCTTAAAAACACATCTTAGAAATCATTCCATACCAAGACAAAAACTGATGCGTGACTTTTCAAATGGCTGAATAGAATTTCACTTTACTGCTGAATTGCAGTTTCTTTAATCAGCGGAGTGCTGATGGACAATAATGTGGGCTCCATTCTTTTATGGGAAAATCCTGCTGCTTGCTTTCGGCCACTTTCTGGTGTGAACATCTGTAGGTGACCACAGGGCCACGTGCCTGGGAAGAGTTGGTGAGTCACAGTGCTGTGCCTGTCATGTTGATAGTGCTCATCAGCCTATGGGGTACAGCACTTTACACGGCCATAGCAATAGTGACAATGACTGGGTCCCCACCTCACCTCCAAATACTGTCATTCATACACTTTCTCATCTTTACTCCACTTTCTCATCTTTGCCTACATAACATTGCCAATTCTGTGTTCAGAGAGAGGGAAAGTGTATAGTTAAACTGGGAAATAAAAAGGATAAGGTGTAGTAACAATACATGCTTACTATTTTAGGTGGGGTGATAAGATCTGTATTCCTTTCCTGTGCTTTCTGTTGGAAACAACCACAGACTTAGTAGCTTAAAACAATCCAAATACATTATTTTACGGTTCTGAGGGTCAAAAATTAGAAAGGTGCCTCAGGGGCTGACCTCTTCCTCCTAGAGGCCCAGGAGAGAGCCTCGCCCGGCATCCCCCACTTCCCAGAAGCACTTCTCTCCTGTTCACACAGCCCGTTATTCTCCCACCCCTAGCCTGTCCCAAGGACTCTGCTCACCTTAATCCCTCCTTAAGGTCCACCTTGATTCCTGTGCATTGTAGGTGATCCGGATGAAGAACTTCTGGGGCCTGTTTGGGGTGTCCCGGAGAGGTCCTGGCTGGAGGGCAAGGCGCAGTTGACCTTTTCCCAAACCCAGCTGTGAGGCCAGAGGAAAAGCAGCTGGAGGCAGGTGCTGTATGAGGGCTGTGTGATATGTTGGTGCCTGCATGGTGGGCAATGCACCGTTACTATCTCCCCTTGTGTACCTGGGTCCAGCCAAGCTGGGGAGAGGACAGGGAGCAATCCATCATTACAAGGAAAACAATCTCAAAGGGCAGTGAACAAGTCTAGTTCATCTGCCAGTTCCAGCCAGCCTGATGTTGATGTGATTCTTAGAAAAGTGCAAATAAATCTGAGCCAGCAGCCATGGTGGCCCCACTTGGGGTCACCTGGTGGTAATACCTTAAGGCAGCATGACCTTCTTAGAAGCCAGAGGCCCTGGAATCTCACCCTTTCAATTTCCCAATGGTGCAAGATTGGCTGAAGGCAAACACAGGACAATATTGGGAGAGTATATTGTGAACACAAAAGTGGGCCATTATTTGGCTGCAAAGTCTCTAAAATTTTCAAATCAGACCCACATCTTTGGGAAAGTAAGATTTGGCTTTCTAACAACCATTCTTAAAAAAAAAAAAAGAAAAGCTCAAGAAGCTGGCCTTGATGGTACACACCTGTAATCCCAGCAGCTGGGAGGCTGAGGCAAGAGGATATCAAGTTTGAGCCCAGTCTGTCTTTCCCTGCCTAACAGAGGATGTCTCCAGGAGTGAAAGGGAGGGTGGAGTTTCTGTAGCAGGGAGGACACTCCCAGGTAGACATGGGATGCTCACAGAACAGTTGTGAACCCCATGGGACCTAGCCCGAGAAGTGGCATGCCACAGGCAGGAGGTGCCCCCAAAGTGCCAGCTGGTGAATAAAAACTTTATTTTGTAGTAAGGATCAGAAGGCCTGGAAAATTTCTGGGGGGGGGGATGTCACAAATGCCACAAACTTGTTAGCTTTGTGGCTGCTACAGAACTACCACAAGAAGTCAGAGCAACAGTTTTCAGGTCTGCTCCGGGGAGAACTTTTGGGCAGGAAGTGCTGTCAGGCAGTGGTCTGGTTTCATCCTGGTTGTGTATTCTCAGGATGCAGTGTGGTGCTGGATGCCCACCTGTTGGAAATGGCAAGTAAGGGACCTTGCATTGGCCATCGGAGGTATGCAGAGGCCTCCGAGTCCCAGTCCTAACATTTTTGACTTTTAGAGTTGAAATCCAGTTAAGCAAAAGACTCAAAAAACAGGGAGTTCTGAAATATGGCTTTCTTTAGTTAATGAAAAGTGAAGTACATTTTTTCTTAATACACAATATGTGTAAGTGTGTGTGTGGATTAGTAGTTTGTTATGTTAAAAGTATCTTTTATTAAGTGATTTATTTGCTGTTCTCCCAAGGGAAAGTCCGCTTCTGTTGTGGGAAGTTTCTTTTCCATTTTTGATGGTGGAGCAAGAGCGGGGAAGAGGAGGAAGGCAGAATAGAGGAACATGATTTTTTGGGTTTCTATCTCTTCAAGTTTGGTTTCCTCTGGTGAGAAGAGTGCCAGTTGTGTTTTTTGGAAAATTTTAAGAAATTGTCTTCCAAACATTAGACTGTCCTGCCTTTGAGTATGTTATCTTCCTTCCATCTTCAATTAAGATCATGCAAGTAATGAGTGCAGAGTGGAACAGGTTCTAGGAACCAATGGCAACAATCAAAGCCTCAGTGAGTTGAAATCAAACCCAAACCCGGACAAGCATCATGTCCTCCCTTCCGCCCCAACTTTCCTCCCTGCAGCCCTCCTTCCACACACTAAGCCGAATATATTTGCCTGAAGTTGTTGCTTTGGGGATTCCTTCCATGTTAGGAAATAGATATGATGGAGGAATGTTCTCTCCTCAAAATGTGCTACAATCAAATTGATGAAAATCAATGCATGTGTAATTAAGACAAGGATTCAAATTCAGATCAGCTTTGTAGAATGCCCATTGATAACTTGCATTGCCAAATAATTGTATGGAGGTATTAGCTCATGGAATCTATTTTTAATGGAATCAACATGCAACATGCTATTCAGTTGCATAGGAGATGAATATTAACAAAAATTCCATCAATGATATGTACAGTGGGGTGCATTTGGAAGGCACTCTGTATTAGTGAGTCTAGTATTGAGGAAGAACCCCATTTTGATGGTTGTCTACATTGCCTAGTAACTCATAACGCTGTGGACACTCATTTAACAATGCAGTATCTTTAGTCCATTAAACTTTTACTCCCAAATTCTGCTTTAATATGTTTAAGGTGAAGAAAGATTTGTGGTTACAATTAAACTTTCAACTTTTGTTCTTAAATATCACTTGTCTCCCCCCCGGTGGCAAGCAGAGCCAAAATAAAACACCATTTCCTTAAGCAGGGCTTTAAAACAAAAACACAAGTATGCTTGTGGAATACTTGTCACTTCGTGAGACTATGTGAAATTTTAGCCTAAGAATGTCTTTTACTATACTTACATGCAAACATAAATGTTCTCTGTTGCCTGCATGGCCTTTTCTTTCTTTAGAGATATACACCTGACACTGTGTTGGGGAGGGCCTGGAAAAGGTTCCCACAGCTGGGAATGAGAGTTGCGGAGAGTTCCGGCCAGGACTCAGTGTCCTTAGTTTTGCCACTATTTGCCCAAATAGTCTTTGGAAATTTAAAAATTATACAATGAAGCTAGTAAATCATTTTAAATTGTCTTTCTCTGCTGCTAGGAAGTGGTGGAAGTAAAGCACATTAATTCGGTGTTGGCTTGGAAGTCTAGAGTGTTTCTAAAGGAACTTTCATGAAATGTTTCTTATCTTCCCCACAAACGAGAGCAAATAATAAACACGAAAGATATTTTAAAAACTCTGTATTCAATTATTCACACCAAAGATATCCATTAAAATTATGAACATTTCTAAATATATTTCATGTATCATACATATATATACTTTATATGTATAATTACATATCGACAAAAGATTTCTTGCTGCTCTAAGCATGTTAGTAAAACAGATTTTGCGATATAACACTCATATATGCATATGTACTGGCTGTTTGAATTATGAATTTATTTACATCTTGCCTAAGTTTTAATAAATGATTACTGTTCTATTATACAAACATAACAATAAAGGATTTTTTAAATACAAAGACTGCAAATGAATACATGAAAAAATTACACACATGTACAATATTTATAATTTATAAATGCAAAGTTAAGACCTCTTTAAGTTATTGCACTTGCGCATTTTACAAAGATTTTTATGTCATACATATAAAATCATTTTTTAATTTACTAACTCATCAACTATAATAAAGTTGGATATTATGAACTTGAAGTTCTTTCCCCTTCCGAAAGAGAGCCTGTTAAGGCTTTGGATACAGACCCATTGACTGCAAATCAGTTTATTATGAGTACTGTGTTTTTGGTAGCACAAAACCTGTGTGACATCCCAGCAGGTTTTGGTCAGCAAGGAGATTATCCCAAGTAAACCTTAGATGACTTGGCTAGGAACGGATATAGAATCTCTTTTGCTCATATGTTCATGTAGACAAAGTCACCTCTTCTTAAAAAGAATCAAGATGCTGCATTTATACAAATTTGGTAACTGTTTCACAGTGTTTTGGGCAAGCATATAATTTCAAATGGACAGGGGCATTGTATAGAAACACCTTCTATTTATAAATCTATCATACTTTCAACTTGCACACTAAATGAACATGTAGCATATACACCATACAATAGATCATACAGAAAATAATAGTCCCACGTGTCATTTATATTGTCTATACAAGATATAGCATAAATCCGGGGATTTAGCTCAGTGGTTCCGCCTCACAAGTGCAAGGTACCGAGTTCGATCTCTGGTACCAAAAAAAAAAGATATAGCATAGGCCTAGGTTTTGGGGTAACTAAAGAAAAAACAAAGATTGCAGTGCCTATGATGACATTTTAGGTGGGCGAAATCATTAAATAATGTACTTTTAAAACAATTTACATTAGGAATAAAACTTTCCATATAAATGTTGGCAAATACACAGTACCTCAAAATTATTAGCTGAGTATTGAAATGATAAACGATCTTCCCTATGTGGGAAACTCTGGAGCCAGCTGCAAATTTCCACTTTGGTCTTTAGGTGATGTTATTCTTTGCCCCAACACAGCCAAGCCCAGATCTTGTGCTTTGGTTGTGGTTCTCATTATGGTTACAGCAAAGGGCAGGCAGACTATACAACTTATAAAACACTGCTTTTCACTGTGGGTTGAGAGGAGAAAAATGAAGTGACTATCACAGTGCTTCTTTGGATTTTAAATGTGCTTTTCTTGGGAAACACTGATGTTTTTCTTTTTGCTTCATCTTCTTAATTTGGAACAAGAACACTGTTGAACATTTTTCGTTTTTGGTATTTTTATCATCCCTTAAAATACACCTAATGCTTTAGATAACCAAATTACACAGTTTTGTAAAGAAGACAGAAACAACAAAAAGGGTACATACTGCACTGGGTGTCACTAATTTAAACTTAGTAGAAGTGCTTTAAGAAGTCAGCAAAATGTGTTATCAGGATACTTGCACACAGGTTAAACTATAACAACCATGCACTGGCAAGCATGGGGACAGAGTAACTGAGAGCATCCATAGCAAACCGAAATCTTACAGTGATTTTTAAGCCAGACTAGTACTTGCAATAGAAGGAATCCACTAAAATGACTAAATGAATATAGTCTCTATAGAGTTACGGCTAAATCAAATCAGCTAAGTTCAGAAATCAAACACGTTTGAAATATATAAAGAGAGAAGTGATTTTCACAATCTGAATCATGCTTATGTACCTGACACCCAACAAAATCACATCATAATTAGTGTCACGGTTCTTGGGAGTCTTTAAAAAACAGAATCTGAACAGCTCCTTTGTTATAGTCACCAGAGTATGTTTCAATGAAGTCAATGAAGTCAAAATAAAGGAGAAGAATCTAATGAAGAGAGAAAGGTTCTAGTCATTCAACTTGGTAAAGTTAACCAGGGATGTGTCTCTTTAAATGTTTTCCATTATGCTTAAGCAAGAAAAGCAAAATAATAAATATATGAGTGAAGAAGTAAAATTTCAGTATTTAAAATAAAGGCACAGGCCAAGGCATGGTGGATAATTTAGTCCTATTAAAGCTCAAACCTTAATTTTGAGTTAAAAGACCAGAAATATAATACCACAAATAAAAGCTATTTAGAAACCCAGATATCTACAGATTTACACATTTCCGTGTATTCTGTACAAACATATCTAGTGTATATGAACACACCACTAAAGCAACATTCACTGAGATTGTATAAATTAAAAACTTTTAAACATGCGAAAGAGGGGAAACCTACACAGAACAAATCTATTTTTAAATTAGTCTGCTTTTGTTGCTATAGGAACAAGCACCAGGAGCCACAGCCATGACCCCTGTGCATGTCCGTCTCCACAAGGGAGGCCAGGAACGGGCACAGTGACCTCCAGGCTTCCCACTGGGTCTCATTCCGACACTGGTTTCTCACATGCTTCTTGGACATAACTAAAAATGGGTAATAGTAAAAGAGCTATTTTTGATAGCTAGTTTCCACACCCATTGTATTCCCTTTTGAGTTTTCCTAGTTAACTAATTCACAGAGTTAACTACTAATTAATAGGGTGCCTGCATTTTTTAAAGACATTTCATGTCATGGTTGGGATGCATTTATATTTCCAACAACATTTTTAGTTAAAAAGTATATTCATGAGGTCTGGAAATTTTGTCTATAATAAGTCAATATAAATTTCTGCAAATTGAACATTCTATATATACTCATAACTGTTTACCAAATTTATATTGAACAATAGAAACTTGGCCAACTATGAAGTACCATATCAATGAGAAATTCATTAGAAACTTTTGGTAACAAAAAATCATCTGCCTGGTTTCTGGTATCACATTACCATTTGTGAAAAGATCTGGGGGAAAGATGAGAACCAGAACTCAAAAGTTGGTCTGAGAAATATATTTTGTCAAAATGTAAAAACACTGTTGAATAAATGTTTTCCCAAACAAGTTAGTATTAACTAGGTATCACCACATCCTGGGCTCTTCTATGTTAGGTAAATATTTGCTTCCTAATTAAGTCCTACGTATGGTAAAAACTATGTCAATGGTTTGTAGTAGCATAGAGTCCATTGTTCAAACTGTGCTTCGATCATAACAGTATCTCTCAAGAAGTTAACCACCCAACAGATATGTGTGCATTCCCTTGGGTCATCTTTCACAATACACTTGGCTATATCAAAGTAAGGGAAATTTCTGTAATATTCTTATTAGAACAGCCACCTCAAGATGCAAAGAAGCCGCGCGATTTCCACCCCCATGATTCTATTCCGCAACAAGAGGCACAATTCCTTTAAAATCCTTTGGATTCTTAAAATCCTTGCATTCCTTTAAAATCCTTTTAGTTAAGCAATGCTAAATGATACCCTCTTCTGAAATTCAGCTTCCAACTTATATCAGATGACTAAATTAACTTGTGTGATTAAAGCTGTATGCGATGGGATCCAGTTTCATAAGTTTGTAGGGGGAAAACATGCAACTTACTGGTGTCAGTCTTATGAATGTACAAATGTGAAAATGACACATTCCAGTCACTTAGTATCAAGCCCCAGACATTTCCCAACATAAAAACCACTGCTTGGGAGCAGAGGGGTGATTTTTATTTTTCACGGGTTTGCTTCTTTCTCCCTATCTCTCTTTGTTCGTATGTGTATGTGTGTGTATCATATAAATATACATACAGGTGTATGCCTACATACATGAGTGTGGATCATATATACATTGATGTGTGTGTCTACATACATTACATACATACATGTGTGTATAGGCCTTCACTCATCATTATGTTTGTTTTCATATTACATACAATGGAGTTCCATGTAGGGAAGATGGTAACCTAAGAAGCCCATATGGAAACTGAACATATAGTGCTAATCTAAAATAGGAACACTGTTTGCATATAGCCACCTCTGCTACACCATAAATAAAACATGCTGTAGCAACCTGATTTCATCTGGAAAAAACCAAGCTCATGTGGACAGCAATGTGGACAGTATCGAGTTTGAAGAAACATTGTTTTAGAATTTTATTTTTTAAATTAATATTCTGGCTACGAGAATAGGAACAAGTTATTTGTTGTGCATTGGCCTGTGACTCTGATCCATTCAGGTGCGAACTGAAGTGCAGATTCAGGTATCACTGGATCACTGTGACAACAGCCCTCAAAGTGCTGACATGTACCAGAGGTGACTGTCTTGTCACCTGTAGAAGAGGGCCAGAGACCGTCCTGACATTGCACAGTAGCATTAATCTGTCAAAAGTCATTCACAAGAAGCTATCCAAACCATAGGCTCCTCTATGGATGTTTGACCTGCGAGAAGAGCAGAAGGGGACAAACACAAGGGACATTGTGGTGGCACTGCTGCCTCCTCCTGCTGGCTGCAGAGTGACCACCAGGCATGATGGGGCAGTGACAGAGGGACAAATGGGACCAATGCAGCTGCCTAGAGTAAATTACAGAAGACTAACACTTGAGAGGGTAATATGATTTTAAGAGAAATGTATGATAATTTAATGAAATAATTTTTAAAATAAACCTTTTATTTTGAATGAGTCAAAAATGTTGCCATGACACAAAGTAAAAATAGAATCATTATTAAAAGTTAACATTTTATATTCACAAGACTTGTTTAAAAAAATAGTATGCCTTGCTTTTATTTTGTTCTTTATGCAAAGAGTTCAGTAAATTTACCACAACTACTACGAAGAAAAACTGTTTGGAAAATTCCTTGACATCTTTTGAACCGAGAGTGGAAGTGGTAAGATTTATAGGGATGTACACCTAAAATGTACCAATAAAAGGATATACAAAAAAAAAAGATTTATGGGGATGTGTACCCGGATCTTTTCACAGGACAAGAGTACACTTCCTTTAGTGTGCAAGGGATTCACCTGCACCCTCTGCTATAACACACCTTAGAGAATGCATTGTGGTCCATCTGAAATCATGAGGCTGTGGAACAAGAACTTGACTTTTTCCTATCACTTCTTACACTGTTCCCTTCGTGACACTGTCCTGAGGCTGTGGGCTACAACTCAAGTTAACCATATGAAGATCACACACGAACATTCACAACAGTAATGTGTAAAAGAACCCTACTTATAACCAACAATAACAAAGCAACATTGGTGTTAAAGCCAAAGTACAATACCAGAGTAGTACCATTTACACCCTTGTGGAAAGACACAAGGGGGAGTACCCTTCAGAGTGATCTCTTTCCCTTCCCAGTAAGGTCTCCACAAGGTCAGCCTATTACAAAGGGGCTTGAGAGTCCGGTGGAGTCGCTGGCCTGCTGATGTTCAACACAGGGCAGGCCTGGCTGCTCACTGTCTGTGGCATGTGCCATGAGCTTGGCAGGAAACTGGCTGCTCCCCAGAGATACTGATGTTCCCTTCTCCAAGAGTTTGCACTGCAGCCACCAGGTGTAGGTTTTCCCAGTCAAAAATAAAAGGAAAAAGCGCCAAAGAAGCACGATGAGAACCGCTGGGTGGAACGCCCGGTGTGTGACCATCAATCCTTCACAGGATGCTTCTCAGAAGTCCCCTCTGCCACTGGGGCTGGGGGTGAGGCTGGGGCTGGGGCTGAGATCCACAGTCCAGTCTCCTCCCCTCGAATCACCTTCTCCCACTGACTCAGATTATCCCTGGGGACAAGAGAAACAGTCACATGGAAAGTTTAAAGAGAGTTCTGGACCCTATCTCAAAAGTTCAGCCAGTGGTCCTACAGCATGACTGAGCACACTGGTTTCTAGTGGCACCAATGTGATGCTTCCTTGTACACTGCCAGCTCCGGTCTGCAAAGACAATAGCCATGCTGGGGCCTGAGTGTCCTTTCTGAATCAGTTACCAAGATGAGCTTGACTGGGGTGAGTTCCAGGGCTTCCTGCCGGGAAGCAAGAGAGGGCAGAGTGGGAGACCCTCTGGCAAGCAAAGGAGCTGCAAGGCTTCCCGTTCCTGCTCTGTGACGAGAGAGGCAGCACAGCTCCGGGGAGGCCTATACACCCTTCTCTCCTCACACCTGAGCAACTGTATTGTGAATACGCTGTTACATAGAAGAAGTCATCTTGAATTACACCTGGCCACAAACTTGAAATTTTCTTATTAGAGGAAAACCCTGTTTTGGGTTCTGGTGACCTCCCTTCTGAAGTGCAGCCTAATTTCTCCTGCAGCCCTTTTAATCTTTTCCTCTCTCTGTCCTTGGGGCAAAAGTCACAAGCATGCTAGCCAGTAACTGTAGGACTGTCTCTTACTCTCTGTGGCTAACCTGGCAGAGGTCACGGCAATACGTTGTACCTCAACTTTTCTTTCTTTTATGCAAAGTCAAAATCAGACAAAATGAATTCTTCCTCTAAATTTATTTTAATAGCAAACATGCTAAGATACCTTTGGGCAAAAGAAACTCCCAAAATATAACCTGACAAGCATAACACTTTTGACTTTTGTACCATAAAATCAGGTGTTATTGATCAGATCCTAGAGATTTTCTGATACACTGTATTGGAAAAAGACATAAACTAAATTTCGTATGTTTCCTAGGACACCAATGATACATGCTGAATGCTTTAAGTGTTTGTAAGATCAAAATGTGCTTTCAGTGATTATGTGGGTCAGCCAAGTATATTAAATCAGGAATGGATCGAAGTTGTAAAAAAATAGATAAGTGCCACATTCACAAAGCTTTCCAGCGAAGTGCTTGCTCCAGTGCATAATGACCCAGCAACCATTCATTCTTGCTGATTTTTGAATATTTAGCATAAAACAGTGTTCTGGAAATAAAGGGATTTAGACGACTACTTAGGAGATTTTTAAACTGTAAGCCTGGATTTTGACTGACATTCCAATTTCTCTGTCATGTGTACTCACTCTTATGCCAGATCTCAACAGAGACAGCCCCAGCTCATGCTCCCCACTGTCCTGTGTGGTGTAGCCCTGATGATAAGATTCTAACAAACTAACCATTGACTCCATTAACCTTCTCAGCACTAGAAAGTAAACAGAAACCATCTCTTAAATAGGAAAAAAAAAAAAGAGATAAAAGAGATCATTTTAAAAAGAGCTTTCGCTTGTTCATTTTGTCTGTCATCCTTATGAAAAAAAATAGTGTATAAAGTAAGCTTCAACAGAGGACAGTGGGAGTACACTATTTAAGTTTTGGTTTTGTTTAAAACTATCTGGCTAAACGTCTATGCTCTGTCCTCCCACGGTGTATCCACTGGGACTCCCAAGGGTAGCTATGGCTGAGTAGTTGTAAACAGCCCCTGAACACCAATTCATGAGGGGAATGTTACTGCTCTTCCCTTTTCTCAGAGGGAACTATTTTTAAAATAAAAATAAAAATCTTTCAAAAATTTCAATTGTCTTAACTGAGTTTAGCTCTCAGAAAAGATAGGGGGAAAAGGAGGCACCTAAATCCTAGAATAGATAATAGATGGCTTAAATTTGTTTTGGGAAGGAAAAAATAATACTTAAAGAAGAAAGATATCTCCATTCAGGTTTCCTTGTAAACTGTAATTTAATCTGAGCCCCTGCATTTCGTAATAAGCACTGCTGACTGCTGTCTTGTCTTTTTAAATAAAAATAGTATTGCATAGGGGCCCTCTGTATGACTGAAAATACCTTCACGTTTCTTCTTGGTGAATAGATGACTTTATGAATCAGGACCCTGTACACACATTTGTACAGTACACTGAATGAGGCCCATTATGGCTATGGGATCGGTGAGAAGCAGGAGGGCTGCTCGAGCATCTCCCGGGGTTGTACCGTGTGCCATGGGCTGTAGGATACAGCCTGGGTAGGGTTTGCAAGAGTTGAGGCCAGTCAGCACCTTTAATGGAACACCTTTAAAGAGCCTGTCTCCCTCCAGGAAAGAAACTGATCCTAGCACAGGCTGAAGACAGGTGTGCGAGGCAGGGTCTTTGACTGTGCAGAGCCTTTCCTCGTCACTCAGCTCACTGCTGGCTTTCCCTGGTCCCCAGCACTGGCTGCTCTGTCACCCATCTTGCCTGCCAGATACACTGCTCGGGCATCAGCTGTGTCTGAGACTCATTTCTGATGAGGCTCAGCCGAAGAGGAGGAGGTACCCCTGGGGAGGCAGTGAGCCAGGGCCATCCGAGACGCAACAACTTGATACCTAGGCAAACAGCCCAACCAATTGTGATATTTATTGTAAACTGTAGTTAAGACACATTCACAAGATGACGGAGTAAAAACTCTTGTACAGAGCCTTAGGTTTTAAAAATACCATTACAGCCTGAATCACAGTACATACCTGCAGGCTTTGAGGAGAGGCTCTGTGGGAGGCAGGATCTGGGTCAGTGTACTATAGCAGGGAATGGCCACAGCATTGTAGAATCCAATCTGCCTCAGTGAAAAAATCATGGACAAGAAACAAATTGCTCATTAGTAATTCTCTTTGCACTTGAATTTTCTTCTTCTGAAGTCTAACTATAACCCTAAATACTTTAGTTTTGCTGTATGTGATATTTGGGTTCAATGAATAATATTATTGATTTAGTTTAAAATGCATTAAAATACATCTTAGAAATAAAACACAAAAATTTAAGACATATCACCAAAGTTACACCTGTTGAAATCTAAACAAATGAAGATTCTATTCATAGATCACTTAAGTTTACTTCAAGTCCTCTTAGTATTACTGGTCAGGTGAAGACATTTTAAAGCCAAACATGCTCTTCTCCTCCATGTGTGACCCTCTTCCATCCTAACATTACAAATTACCACAATATTTTCTGGGTGTTACTCTTGGCTTTGGTATCTTGTATGGTGTCCAGCTACTCCCCCATTCCTTATTTTCTTTTAACCTACAAGTGTCACTAATTTCATCATACCTTTCTCAAGTTCCTATTTTGCCTATATATTAGAGTTCATTGTTTTAAATTCTGTTGTACTATAAAAATATATCAAAGAATACTTTTCAGGCATAGTGATTCACTTGCGAATAAATGATGCTACCTTAGACTGGTCTAGGGAAGGTAAGATGTGGAAGATTCTGAGACTATTAGCCAGAGAACACAGATTGTCTAACGCTCAGTAACTGCCCCAAGTAGCGAGCCATACTTATATAACTGGTCAAGATACTGCCCAAGAACAGTATAACTGGACAACAATTGGCTCTAAGGTGAGCCCCAACCACAGCTACCAATTTCTTTATAAAAATGAACTTCAAGGAACTACATCAAAGGATATAAAAGAACCAAATATATGTGGTTCCTCTTTGTTTTCTTCTGATACAAAGTTATTTCCATAGTCATCTTATTGGACTAATGCCTATGCATTTCAATTTTTAAATTTGTGGCTCATGCAGAGATTTCCTTACTCCAATTTTTGGCAGCTGTCACAGTTAGACAATTCCAAGAAAAAGATTAATTATTGGAAAGTAGGGAATTTCATTACCATGACAAAGAATAATTTCATAGCAATAATTTAGAAGTAATATAGTTGGTAAAATATTATCTAATTACAGAGAGTTTTTAAAAAAATTTGAAACAGAATCTCACTGTGTGGTTCAGCCTGGCCTTGAAATCACTATGTAGCCCAAGCTGGCCTTGAACTTGTGATGATCCTCTGCCTCAGCATCCTGAGTGCTGGGATTACATGCATACACCACCACAATTAGCTCTCACAGAGATATTTCATTTAAAACTTTCCTATACTATAAACTAAAACATATTCATACAAAGCACATTATTTTTTTAAAATTAGCATTAAAATTAAAAACTCTAGAAAGAACCCATGAGAAATTTTCAGCTCCTACACATTCTTTTGGGGAGACAGTTTAATGACTTAAAAATGAAAAAAATTGTTAGATGCCTTTCTTATACCATATAACAACATAACTTCCAAATGAATTAACAATCAAATGTAAGTGATTAAAATACATATTAGAAATAAGAAGTAACTAAAGATATATGAAAATTCTTATATATTCTCAGGATATAAAAGGACTATTAAAATCTGACAGAAGAGCAGACACCAGATAGGAAAGACTAATAACTGTCTGTATATATAAAAGAATTCCCTAAACAATGTTAAAAGAAACCAAATTGCAAATATATACATGTGTCATGCATGGCAGTGATGCTAGCTGCACTGTCAAAGAGTGACAAAGAGCTCTCCTCAATAAGGACACAAGTAGGTGCTTGGCAAAGGCACTCTCCTGGATTTTATGTTAGAAAAGAAAGCCTGTTCACTGCAATGCCATCTGTGGACAGCACTGTGAGCTTGTGAAATCCAGCTAGGATTTCCTAACCTTGGTCTTCTACCATCAAACTCAGGGCTAGTGGAGGTCTCAAGCATTTCTCACCATCCAGCCAGTCCATGGCACAGACATACCCTGCAGCTTCCATTTTTACTTCAACGTTTGGAGCAAGATCAGAGTTGGCCCTAGGTTAAAGCACAAACTTTTGGAGTCTACTTCTCCATCAGTGCAAGTGAGTCTTAAGGGTGCCTGAGCCATGTGAAGGCTCATTGGAGTGGATGAAGACTCAAGGGTAAAGGGCTATTCTTCTTCCAGCTCTCAGCTTCTGCTGGATAACTCACTAAAGTTTTTTCCTTAATCAGCAGGCCTGCATTGACTGTCCCTTACTCAAAACTTACTGCAGCATGGAGCATGCTTTCTCTTCACAGATGGTGTTAGAACCACTTTAAACTGTCTGACTTAACAAATGAACTCTAACAATCCATACCTGGCCTTGTGGGACTTCATCTTTCTTGTCTCTGTCCATCATAGGTATGGGCTGTATTCCCAATTTCTTCATTTCATCACCCTAAAATAAATGGTAGAGGGAATTATTCTTTCTTGATAGCCATAAAATTTGCTATCAATGATTTGTTCCCTTTATTCATTAATTTTCTTCAAAACAAATAATGTTTCTGGTTACTGTCCTAAGAAACATGCCAACATAATGTAGAACAACGTGTCAGTGTGTTATATTTTGTCCTGATGTACTGTACTCTATTGAATTATGCACTGTATTTCCAGAGATCTGCTCTCTCTTCCGGCTCCACTGTGCAGCCGTTAGCTAAAGTGGTAAGGAGAATGAGAAGGAACAAGAAGTGTGGGATGTCGTCAAGGCCTCTGTCACTTCTTTTTCAAATGATTCTCATGAGAGTGGAGCTGGAGAAGCTGGGCTTCAGAGAGGGGCTCTGACACACAAAGAGTGAAAGACAGTCTGCTGAAACCATTGGTAAGGATACAGCATACCTGACCACTGGGCATGAAGCCCATAATTATAGGTAATATGTGGGAAAGATTTCATAGGTCAAAGGCTTTGTGCTATATGGTTATAAATATTACTTCATTTATTCCTCAGGAAGTACTAAGAGATGATATACTATCCCATTTTCTAGATTTTAGAAATTATTTTACTTTCTATTTATTTGTCAAAGCTTTAAAAAATATTCTTCCTTAATATTTTCTCGCTTTTTTCCTAACTTCCCACTCTTCCCTCACATTTATTATTTTAGTAATTTTAATGATTCTTATTTTCAGAAACCACAAATATAGACTAAAAACTTCCTAGATTTGCTAGAATACAGTCTAGAAATAAATTACTCTGACCTCATTATGAGTTTTCCTGTAGGGATGCAACATTTGTCATCTGAGTGCCCAGGCGGGGAGGCACAGCTTCTGCTGTAATGTGATCACTGTAATGCTGCAGCCAGTGGTCTTTAACCTGCTGTCTGACTGAATGAAGCCTGCTGGTTCCCTTGCTCTCAGTGACTTTTCAAGCCCAAGAAGGAAGCAGACTTTAAACAAACAATGCTTGACTATGTATTGAAAATAAGGATAAATGCAGCAATGGAAAACCATACTGTGGACCACAGATGTAATAAGGGCTACCCGGAAACACAGAGAGCTGGAGGGCGGGCAGTGGTGGCCACATGGGGTTCAGTACATCGTGCTCCTGATTTTGGCCTTTGTCACAGGAGTGGCAGAGGATCTGAAGCAGTAATCAGACTTATCATTGTCCCTCTGTGGCAGTATGCTCACTAAAAGCACGGATAGGTTAGAAAACTGTCTCAGGTTATGTAATTATTGCCAAAGCAGCATTTTAATCTCAAACATTCAGACCATACTCTTCACCACTGTGACTGTGACAGACTCTGAAAGACTTAGGCCAGGAATCCAGGTGGGAGCTGCAATCATGGAAACATGACATGGTGACAGTTTGGAAGGAGGCAACTGCAGAAGAGAGACTGGACTGTGTGGATATTTAGGTCAGTGGCAGGTACTATACTGCCATCTCCTCCCAGGGACTATGGGGTCATGGAAGACCATGCCTGTGATCATGCTAAATGCTTAATCTGCATTTGTGGACTGAATCATCAATGAGGAGTATAAAGAGAAAAAAATCTATATTACATTTCTGTCACATATTGAGTTATAGTCTAGAATACAAATATAGTTGGTAAAGTATGAAATATCTCTACTTGTAGTAAAATTAAGTGAAAAACAATGGCTAACTTTAGTTTTCCTATGTGATATTTATAGATGGTACTCTAGGGTGAATACGCAAATTAAGTTGATTGTGATAATAAAGTCAATTATTACAGTTCATACAAGTACATCAGAAAGAATGTCTTAATTGAGTCTGAAAGTAACTAGGTTCTGATACACACACAATAAAATAAAGAAGACAAATCATGTAACTGCTTGCATATACAAGGTATAAGGAATTCTACAGAAATGGCAGCATAAGCATAAACAGCTCAAGGTCTGTGTCCTCATAGAAGAAAAATTCTTTGGTTTTTCCATTATGAAAAAATTTAACAAAAATAATTTCTTTTGAACTTAAAGATGAGTGATTTGTTGGTTTTTGTGTTTAACATTCATTCTTTGGTATAGGTAAAATATGAGGTTGAATCAGCTACTGCAAAACTCTTTGCCTTTCAAATTTAATTTTTCACACCAAAAAAGGTACCCAAAGGATTTACAAATTTTTCATAAAGTAATCTTTTAATATGTACAGACCTAGGTGTTTATGATTATATTCTACTTTCTCACAGACAATTCGGCAAACAAATTGAGGAATGACATGTACATTACCGATAATTTATTCAGCCAAAAAAGATGTTAGTGAAAGTCATATCTATGTTTGCTTCAGGAGTGTCATAAATTAATATTCCACACATTCTATAGAAATTGTAATTTGCAGGTGAGTTGACCACTGAGCATATTTACAAATTTTCATATGTCTGTGGTACACAGTGATTATTCTCTTAGCTTCTAAGTGCAGGCAGATATAGCCCATTCAGAGTAGACATCCAGTAATGTTTTTTGAATGAGTAGACAACAAGTTGTCAAGTGAGGAAAATTGTTACACTGAGGTTCAGCTCAGTGAATAAGTTCCTAGACAGAGATCAGAGAATTTACACACATATTCAAGTAAGACATGACAGAATCAATGTTCTCACTTTGTGCCTACATAATTTCTAAATCTTTCAGCATATGCGATTGATCATATTTTCCAAAATATTATAACTAGCAACATCAGCAATTTAGATACTAAGTAAATTATCCATATATTTAATTTCTCCTGAAATATTTGCCATTCCTTGATATTATCTATCCTAATATAATAATCAAGGACATACCTCTGCCCAGAATTCTGCATATATATCATTTGCCGTCAACTTTGTAACTGGCCACAGTTTTGTCACAGAACAAAGGTCACAGGCTGTCATCATCAAGCCAATTACACGGTCTCTGGAACATAAGGTAAGACTGGTCAGCACTGCAACTGCATGTTTTTACTAAGGCCTGGAGGGACTTCTCATTGCAGGGGTGAGGCTTGTGTATGCATTATTTCATGAAGGGAGAAAGACAGCAATAAGCAGCAGATCCAAGTAAAAGGCAGAACAATAAAATGGAATCAAAGAACAATCCCACTTTATTTGTAAGAACATCAGTCACTTCCATTGCTAATTCCATGGAGTGTATTAAATGTTCTTGTTGCCTCAATATTACCACTGAAATATAATATAGGCTATATACTACTATCTTCTAAGTCTCCTGGCACACTTACATTGTTATGGACCAGGTTTCTATTCTTATGGAATTTGGGAAATTTTAAATGGGAAAAATCATTAAGAGAAAATCTGTCATAATGCTCTCATTCTATATAAAGAAAATCTGATGTGTATAGAAATGATATGACTTTTGCGAGGGAGTAGTGGGTGGGGACTAGGTCAGGAAAGTGTGCTAGAGGCTTTCCCTGTCTCCACTGACAATGAGTGTGAGGGGATGTACCCTCCCAACACTGCTTTCCAAGTATTTCTCTTCAAACTCTAACTTTCAAACAAAATGAGCTTCCTGTTCAGCTGCCTGGCACTCACAACTATGTGTTCCATATCTATTTCTTCTAAATATGATTCAATTTTTTCTCTTGAAGAAAAATAGTAAATGCTTTAAAGATTCAGACATATCCACTATAGATCTACCAGATCCAGAAGAGTGAGATGTACTTACACTGGCCTAAATGAAGACTACACTTAGTGGGAAAACTAAGAAGTAGTTATTAGGAATTTCAGTATACTAACTTTGACTTTCATAGAGCAAAATACATAATTTAAAAACAAATTTTTATCAAAGATATGATATTGTAAAGAGTGAAATGATGTTATAATTTCCAATTCACATCTAAATTCTAATGAGCCTGAGGGATACACTGCTATGAACACACCTCACCTCCAGTGGGTCAGTGGATATTCTCCTTGGGTGGCCAATGTCCCACCCCAGTTGAGCCTGTCCTGACCAAGACAGATAGCATAGAAGGAGCATCTACTTGCCAACTTGGCAGAGAATTCTGATCTAGTTTTGCTCAGTACTGATAAGGTTCCTGAATATCTGGCAGATTGTTTCTTCCTATTAACTGCATCTTTGATACCAATCAGTTACAAAGTTCATCTACTTTCCATCAGCCCATTTCCTTTAGCCCATTGAACTAATTTCTTTTACAACCTCATTTGCCATAAGGAAACATTTTAAGATTGCATCATATCTCTTACTGGTTAGATTAGATGACTTAAAAAACATTGATTAGACTTGACATATACCCTTCCTGTAACCTCAAATAGCTGAAACATGAAGATCTAAATCACTTAAAGTGATCAATGAACTATACTGCTTTCCTAATGAAGTAGTTGATGGCTTGAAAGAATTTTTTGGAGTTAGTTTTCTAAAGGAATAAGAATATTAACTATTTTCTCAATAGGTATATTCATTTAAACAGAAATAGAATGTAAAAATGATTATTCTATTTATAAATAATTATTCAATCTCATTCAATTCAATCTCAAAAATTCAATCTTATTTAATTTATATTAACACACAGACATTTATTTTTCTTTGCTAAAATAGTTGGCTATAATCTCAAAAGAAATTTATTTCATACATCTGTAAAACAAAAGAAATATTAATAGAATTGGGCATTATAAAACATATGGAAGCGACTTTCCCACTGGAAATCATCTCACATGTAAGGTTGCTACTATGGGGATTGAAAAGATTATGAAATAGTTACTATAGTATTGAGATTCTGCTGTCAAAATTACTTCACAAAACAGTGTAGCATTAGCTAGTTTACTGAATGGATTAGGAAACTAGCATGAAATGATTTTTGTAAATATTATCACTTATTTTAAAATTTTCAATTACAAATAATTTGTAATTTTCAATTACAAATGGTTGTTCAGAATGCTATTATTAAGTTAACATTTTATTTTTGTATATGAATGGCATACAAACATAGCTGGTATAGACACTAAATTCTTAAATGCATCTTAACAGCCACTTGTAAAAAGAGTGGAGTTTACTAAATATACTCTTGGTATAACCTCATACAACCCAGTCACTAAACATGATGAAGCTAGAGCCCATAGCTAGAGCTAGAGCTATGATACAAACATTTTATAGTACAGCAATTTTAGAGGGTTTGATACATTCATTTACTCCAAAAGGGTTTGAATGCCTGGATGTACCATGCATGGGTACAGCAGTGAACATTCTGGCAGGGAAAGGCAAACAATAGGCAGGTTTAAAAAAAATTGTGCAGCAGCAGTATTGTGTAAAAAGTACAAAAGAGAAAAAAACAGAGGTAACCACAGCAAGACCTATGAAAGTGTGCTAGCACACAGGAGTGTGAGATGGCCAACTGTGGGAACAAGCGTGGCCTGCCCAGGATGAGAAGAAAGCCGTTCTGGCTGAGATCCAGGGACAAGTTGAGACAAGGAAGGCAAAGAAATGGAATGGAGGTGAGCTGGGAGTTTAACTTTTATTCCAATCTTGACAGTAAGACAGTAAAGACTCCTTTTCCCAGAGGAGAAACACGGCACGTTTTAGAGAGGATGGCTTAGGGCTACTGGGTGGAGGATGACTTGGACAACTGGAGGGAGTCAGGGCAGATTCTGAGAACTCTGCAGAGTTCAGATGGGAGATGGTGGCAGCTTGATAAAAGCAACACTTGTGGAAACATTAGTGGGAGGATTGTGACATTAGAGACAGAGCCAAGTTAAAATGTGTTTGCAACCATAGACTCCAACATGACAAGGCAAGGCTCTCTCCAAGGCTTCACTCCCTTTGTTCTTCACCCAGCCTACTGTTTTAGCCTGGGTGGAGAAGCAGGAATGAAGGCTCTCTTACAGGTGTGCAGGACTTCTGACTTGGCAGAAGTGGTGTCTCTCGTGGGTGAACACTTTTACCTTCTCTGTGCCATTTGAATTCTCTTCTCACCACAGAGGGTCACAGAACTTGACAAAATGGAGGGGAAAAAAGCCCATGCATCATGCTTTTACTTCCTTTAACACAAAGTGTGGCAGCTAGGGTCCTGACAGAAGACAGATGTCACATCAAAAAGAGTCAGAGGGCCCAAGAAAGGGGCTGTCCACAAAGGTGTGAGCAGGGGCATGCGAATCAGCAATAGAGGGAAGTCTGTGCTTCTGAAGAGTCAAGGGGAGAGCAGCTGTGAGAACCAGCAAGGCCCATGCTTGTAGAATGCTACCCTAGACAGCACCATTACACCATGTGCCAACAGGAACAAGGCCAGGAAGAAACACGTCGGCCATTCTCCCCTCCCTCTCTGAACTTCTGTGCTGCCCAGGAGCTGAGTGCTGCACAGCACGGGGTCACCTCAGAGACGAGCACCAGTAAGCTGCTGTTCACATGCACACTGACATGTGTAACTTGGCCCACTTAAATATCAAGCTGTACCTGTTTATCCATGTGTCAATATGGCATTGAAATAGAAAAGTAGTTTTTAATCCCAAATTTGAAATAAGAAAATTTATGCCATTAGTCTTTGTGGACTCAATTTAAACTGTCTGGATAGCTCAGCACAAAACTGCCAAAAAAAAGAGGAAAAAAGAAAAACCAAAAAAGCAAATCCTGTTCATCTTAGAATGTCACTTGGATATTTTATATCATAATCAATATTTAATTAACAAATTCTCTAATTTTATATTGGCTCCTTGTAATTTCTTTTGAATAATTTACCATAATCAAAAGTGTATTGATATGTACCAAAGACCAGTTTTCCACTGTGAGGGAGTCTTACAAATGCTGGAGTGGCTGGGAAAAGTGAGGATCCAGGGGCTAAGGAAAAAGCAAGCACCTGCGATGCAGAGGGGACATAGCTGCCATTGAGCCTCATTTTGATTCTTTTATTTTTTAAAGGTAATACATAGTATTTGCAAAGAGTTTAGGTAAATCCTTTTCCCCTTCAGTTATCAGTTTAACATTTTTCATCTTGCTTTTAAACTTACCTTTAAGGAATTTTAAATCACTGGATTGAATAACTTAAATCTTATCTAATTACGCTAAGGAAGGAGCAATGTCTCTGAAAACATGTGAATAGCCATAGAACTAAAATCATAGAAGAGTTTTTAGAAAGTATTTCCAATGACATTAATGGTAATCCTTTAATATAAGCATAAATATGATACAGTGATTATCTCATTAAAATATATTTTAAATTTCAGTTAATTCCACAGAACGCTGAATGTGTTGCTTCTTTTAAAAGTATCATTAAGAGAGAAAAAGAAATCCTAACTGAAGAGAAAATGAATGGAGCAAATGTGCCCCCAAAAGGGCCTCCCATTATTACAATCTACCTGGACAGACCCTGTGTTAGTCTGAGCTGAAGTCACTCAGAGAGGAACAAAGGATTCCGTGAGTAACTTCAAATCAAAACATTCACTTTAGAATTTAGTTTCCCCACAGTGGAAGCTCTTCAGTGTGGACCTAACACACCTCACAGACTGAGGCCACCCCCTGCATTTGCTGTAGCAGGTAAGGACTATCAGCTGCTGGGACAACCAGAGAATGTTAGGGTAACTGTGTCACGGTCTGGGAAATCACACATAGGCACACTTGTTCTTCTTCAGAGGACACAGCAGCAGTTCCATAAAAATACAGAACTCTGCATGTTCTATTTCTGAATTAAGAATAAATCCCCTTTAACAGAATTGCTCAAGGGTTTAATATTATACACTTTCCTTGTTGTGCACTTAATCTAAATTAAAGAGAGACTGAAAGAAGTGGAGCAATGGAATTTCCTTTGAAGGGGCACAAATATTTCCTGGGAGTAAGAGAATAAACATTTAAATTTGTATATTCCCAATGATTTTAGAGCTATAATAAATCACAAAAATTATTTCAATGATAATTTTCAATTCTAAAATTATGAAATCAGTTTAATATGCAAGAGAGGT